TATAAATAGAAAAAGAACGAATGAAAAAATGTAAAAAAAATGTGACTTACTTTACTTTACTTCAGGCTATATATTGCACTGTTCAAAAAATTCTGGAATCTGCATGCCATGGAATAGAATAAAAAAATGGCTTGTATGTAATAAAAATATACCACAAATGGTACAGATTGTTGAAAAAGAAGCACTTTTCAGCTTGGCAAATCTAGCTGTGCTCTTTAATATTTAATGCACAGTAAATCAGCTAAACGAGTGGGCGAGAGCTCATTAACATCGAAGAACTCGTGTAGTGAACATCGTGTCAGTACAGAGACATTATGAACGACGTATTGAGATTCATGCAAGCGGAGAAACGGTATATGTGTAACTGTCAACACTTGTCGAATTTATTTGAGCCACCAGATTTGCCAAGCTGTACTAGTGAGAAATTTTCAAGTATGAGCTTCATCAGATTCCTCAGTCATCTCTGTGTTTGTTTCAAAAACTTCCTGCTCAGTAGACAAAGGCATTATCACACCGAACACAATCTTTCCAATATACTTGTCTTCTATTACTTATAGCACAAAAGTATTAGTGAAGGATTCTATCCAGTGAACTCTTTGTTTTCCATGTCTCCATATCTTGAAGAATATTTGCGTATTTGCTTTCTTTGAGCTTTTCCTGTACGCTATATTACATGCTACATGTTGTCAGTTAATATTTTTATCAGGAATCATGCGAAATGAAAGTTATATCTATTTTTTTCAGAAAAATTTGCCAGTTACCCACTTCATTAACTTAAATTGTTTCGTTATATCTCAAAAGGATAAGATGTATTCTATACGTCCTCCCTCAAATACTCGACATAAATACATGTGTATAAATTTGTTCACATGTAAAATAACGCAAATCAAGGCCCATAATCTCGTATACCAGACTTTAAAATGACTATTAATGAACTAGAAGATAACATTTAATTAGAGAAGGTGTTGACTTATAGTACCGTGAAAAATGGGGCGGTTAATAGAACCAGTCCGTGAAGTATATACTTCTTAGATGTGAAAATTTACAATAGGAATAACTGAGATTTGGGAAAGCAAATAATTGTTTTGAAAAAGTCTTCAAAAATAATGCGAATTTTAAGTTGGACAATAAAATTACTCTTACTCATTTTACATATACATTTTGATCTAATAGGGAATATGCAGACAATTTTTTAATTTTTCTTATTCAATATTCACTTCATTTCGATATAGAAAAAAAAAACATAGCTGTAAGAGTAGTAATTATTTTTTCATAAAATCTTAAAAATATTGGTTTAATTTGACAAGTTCAAACGCTCCTATTTCTCGCGCGCTTGAGGCGTGACGTCATAGGGCACGTCCTGTCAGTTTATTGTTCACATTGAGACTTAGTTTGATAGTTAACAAGGTGTTTTAGTTTAAATATCGCGTAATAATCATGGAAGAAGAAAACAAGCCATTTTATAGATATTGCTTGGTACCAATGTGTCCGAACACTATAAAAACTACACCAGATAAAGTTTCATAACCTTAAAGTTCCTAACCTTATTTACGTATGTCATACAATGAATGTAAACAACATTTGAGGTTATATTGAGGGAAATAATTTTATAAGTGCATGTATGCATAAAAACAGATTTACTA